TATGCGCAATTGCAAGATCCTTCGGCCGAGTCTGAACAGTGGGTGCCAGTCGAGGGCACTCCTCACACTTTCAAAGCCACAGCTATCAGTCTTAAAAGAGGTTTTAATGGGACCCTGTCCAATCGGTATTCACGCAGTAACGCTGATCAAATTACCAAATTTCGTTTCTAGCAGTCGCCTGGAAGATGACTAGGTGGAATCACCTCAACACTACCTTCTTAGGTGCTCAGTTTTCGCGTGGCTAAGGTTGAAATACTTGGGCTCTCACATTCTTAAAGGGTACATTCTTAACGGAGCTCCGAGGGATTAAGATTAACCGCATTCGTAATTACAGAATCGGCTCGAGGCGATTAAGTATTGACTGCCGTTCCGGATGTGGTATCACAAAGGGCAATCTCCTAATTCCTAATAGCTGGGACTTCCAACTAACCTTACCTAACCTACCGTTGTGGCTAGCGTAAGCAGATGATATTGAAATCGTCGACGTGAAACCCAGCCTTTTTAAGCTTGGAAAAATAACTAGGTACTTCCTGACAACACATAAAAAGCCTTTGCGTATTGAAACACACGTCACTTTTGACAGTTATAACTTTGAAGTAGTGAAGGACTTTGTCTACCTAGGCTGCAGCATAAACACTACCAATAATGTCAGACTGGAGATTAAGTGAACAACAGGTGCTACTTTGGGCTCACTAGGCAACTGAAAAGGAAAGGCGTCCCTCGACAAAGAGAAATCACGCTCTATAAATGGCTCATCATGCCCGTTCTTTTATATGGCGCCCAAACGCGGAAGTTGTTGCAAAAAGAAGTAAGATCAGTCATTTCTACAAGATTCGGCTCGCATAATGAGAATCTTACTCAGAGTACAAAAATTTTTTCTCTTAACCCTAAACTCTGAATAGCCTTATTTATAAAAAATAAAGCAGCTTTAAAAAAGGTTTGTAAATTGAAAAATGTATGAAAACTTCAATGTATGAAGATCTTTAAACTCACTTTATTTTTTGTGTGTGAAAAAGGCAATAAGAGTTGGAAAACGAGTGAAATTTTTAAGGTTTTGCTCTCTCGCTCCAACCTTAAAACACCTGCTACTGCTTTATATATTTTTGCCAGGTTTTTTGAGGAAAGAAATACATAACGAGCCATGTTTTGAAGTCTAGCTCCAAATCAAGATTCAGCGAATGGAAATCTATGACCATTTTTATCTACTTTGTCGGACAAATAAATTTGTGTAGAGCTGCTTTAAAAATAATTCTTATTAGTGGAAAAACTTCTAAAATTGCAACCTTAATGCCAGTGGCTTTATCACTGGGACTTGAAACTGGTTTCTCTTTTCTTGGATTTGGCTGAATGACTGGAATTATATGTGGTAGGTTGTGGTGCATGCGGTCCACAGAAGTTAGTAGCTGCGCCTGTGTATAAGTATACACGGCAGCAAGTGGCCTAGAAGCAATCCGATAGCTGCATACATACATATGTACATGCTATATAGTAATGAAAGTATGACAGTTTTTAAAACGCTTTTAGCAATAGATTGAGCGTTGGGCTTGGGGTAGATTCGTCACGTCAAAAACAAAATTCAAAGAAAATACCGAAATGCCTGGGATATTGACCTCGCTCAATTGTGACTACTCTCGCCAATGGAATCAGAACTATAATTTACCGATACGCATCTGCTATATCCGGACTGCAATGAATTTGCAGCATGCGAATATATCAATGCCTACATGTGACGGCACACCAATTTGGGGTGGAGGACAAGTGATAGACCGAAGAGAAATTTAACCTCCTCAGCTCAATTTGTGCAAGAAGAAAGATACGGTCAAAGAACCATGCCTGAAATGATCTGAAAGGAAAGGAAGCGTGTTTGGTGAAATTGTCGAAAAGTTTAGTCTTCATGATTTCTCCTCGTGATCTTAAGACCGCCATGCTCACAGCAATACATATCATATAAATATCCACTGCAGACCGTTGTGACGGGAGTGAAAATAGAGCGATACGGGGAAGACGACGCTAGCGGCAGGCGTACAACCCGCAAATTCTACCATAAAATAGGATTACCAAAAACTAATCCTGATTAATTTTCGAACAGCCGGGCAACACTCAAGGCCTACAGAATCTAATTATGTTTCATTGAGCTTTATCAAAAACCTATATTATCGGCACACCATTGCCTTGCACTTCCGATGGGCTGCTTCGAAGCGTTTCAAAGTTTGTTTTTTATCTAAAATGTTTACGAAGAGCGGGATACCTCAGCAGAGGCTTAATTGTAGGGCTTGTAATTGTAGGTGGGAGAACTTTCCATGCTTATAAATATTCGATGGTCTTTTTGTGAAACATTTACAACTAATAACGCACTAGACACGAAGGATAGATGTTTTTATGTAGACGAAATGGTGTTTCCACATTGCTAATTGCTCCTGGGTCATCTCGCTTGCAAATTTGTATTAAAACTGAAAACACCCACAACATACTTATGACGAAACGAGCGGTTAAAAGTTCAGAGGTGGAATATTGAATTGATATCTCGCCTTGATAAAAATGAGAATAACTGTAGATATTATTGGAAAATAGCCCTTCTTCACAATAGCAAATTCCATAGCAATATTTCGCACTATTTAGTTTTATGTTTTTCTAATTAAACTATCCACATTTGCGAGAGAAAAGTTGCAAAGTATACAAAGCAAAATTTGCAACTTCTGACCTTAATTTTTTTTTTCTACCAAAATGTATGGCCAAAACTGTATTGCTTAAAAATTAACATTGAAAACGTTTAATTGTTGTTGCCAGCCAGTTCAATGTATTTAGTGCAATTGTGTTCAAGTGTAAGTATACTAAATATTTTAGTTCCATTGTATTTATTTAGTGGCTGATGTTATTGTTTTCTCTCTAAATTTATGACATTGTAAATGCTTTGTTTCTACCAAGCTACTTTATTGTTGTTCATATTTTCAATGGGTATTTGGAAAAGCTGCTATCGTTAGTGTTAATTAATGTTGTATACTTTGCTCTTTCTTTTGTGTGCATTTTTCGCTAATATTTTGTAGATAAATTGCGATATTTTCGTTGATAAACTTTCTAAAGGCATAAACGTAATAAAACAAAGTGAGTACAGACTAAGCTGATAAGCTGGATTGTTGTTGTTTGTCTGTGTGCAATCGAGTTAAATTTTTGCAAACTTTTTCAATTTGAAATACGTACATATATTCGGTATGGCAATAGGTATATTTAAAAGTTTCATATAAATATATAATGAAATGTTTAACCCTTTCAGGACCAAGCGACCACAGATCACAAAATTGGTGTTTGTGTTGTATGATTTGATTTATTACTATAATAAAAAAATTTCAAAATTTTTTTAAATTTTTTAAATCTCTTTTTACTTTTTATTTATCTGTATTTTATTTTTTTCTAATTATTTTTGCAAATCTTTTAATTTTTTGTGATTTTGATTTTACCGAGTTGAAAGACTTCTAATTTCTCTTAATATTTTTTTTTTGAACGTATGTTACTGATTTTTTTTTTAAATGTCTTTTACCACAACAATTTGTTTCACATTATTTTTTTTATTAAATCAAGATTTTTCTTAAATTTACCAATTTTTTAAATATTTTTTAACACATTTTTCTATTTTTCTTTATTAAAAAAAAATATATTTTTAAAATTTTGGCATTCTTTTTGTTTTGTGTAATTTTTTCAATAATTCTTTTAACTTTTTGTAGTTTGCAATTTTGTGATTTTTTTTTCAAACACTACCTAAACCATTTCTGAAGTATATATTTAGCTACGTTAAAAAAATATATATACTGAAAGACAAACACAAACTTAACACAATTTCCTTGCGGGCTACCAACCTTTTGGGAAATATGTGTCGCTGGGTCCTGAAAGGGTTATTGACATTAACAGTTTTAACTTGTAGAAAATATCAAAAGTAGGTGAGTAAAATATTCAAAAGGTTTTCGCTGTTTTCTATAACTTTCGGGGTTTTGAGTGATTTCTTGCTACCAAATGTACAAGTATATTGAGTAAAATGATTTATTTTTGGCAAAACAAAGTACTATTTTGATATTTACAAAAAAAAATTTAATACTTATACTGAAATTTCTTATATAACCAGATTATGAGTGCCATCGTATATCTTCGTAGCTGATCGTTTTAAATTTTTTTTTCTAGAAAAAAAGGGGGAATGCAATTTTCCAATTATTTTTCTAAAATTCCTCTTTTTTTGTTGAGTTTTCATGTTTTTGTGTAAAATATAGTAAAGTTTGTTTGAAATTAAAAGAAAAAAATCCGATTTTTTCTGCAATTAAATTTCCGTGAAAAATTTTTTCTGAAAAGCTTTGAAATAATCATTAAATATTTTACCTGCGCTTTGAAACTTGTTTCCCTCGAATTTAAATTTAGTTTGAAAACTTTTAATAACCATGTTAATATTTGTGTTTGTGTGTCTGAATTTGAAATTTTGAGTTTTTTCTAACAAGAATTTGTTACACAATTGCGATGTAAATAAATAAATTAAAACAATTTTTTTTACCACAAAATACCAAATTTTAATTAATTCATAGGAAAAGCGTCCAATTAGTAGCCCTAATACGTAAATTTTATAATCGCTAGTCGAATATGCAGCGAAGAACATACGAACATATATGTATAAAAATATGGCTACGTTTGTGTATGAGCGTGTGTGCCTTTAAGTGAATGTTTGTGTAGGGGACGTCAGAAAGGCGTGAGCAGCAAAAGGCTATATAAATGAAAATTTAATTTACTTTAAAAACCTAATTAATTTTATTTAGTTTGATTTTATAGCTTTAATCTTTAATTTTTAAACTTTTTTATTTTTATTTTATGGGCGGAAAATTAGCATTTTACTGTTAATTTTTGTCTATGCTAAACATTGTTTTTATGTGATTTTTGCCCTTTACCGACCACTCCTTTCCTTTTTTGCATTTTTTCGAACTCAAATTTTTGTATGCTTTAAGCCTTAAATTTTGTGATCAACTTACCTGCGGTAAGTGTGTAGTCCCAGCTGGTGTCTGGCTCATTTTTGTATACATTCAATTTTTCTGGCTGTGAAGTGAAAGAAGAGATAAGTTTAAAAAATTTAGTAAAAAAATAAAGAATGCTTTTTTTAATACATGCAATAAAATTTAGCAAAAAAAACAAACACAAAAGACTTCAAAAGAAAAAAAGCTTAAGTTGGGAAATTGTGTGTGTGTTTTATCAAGAAATGAAAAATGTTAAATATTAAAATAAAATTTTTTGATACTTAATAAAAAATAGCAGAAGTAGTTAAGATATTTATCAGGTGTCTTATTATCATAATCTCATAATTGTATTAGGCTTAATAAAATTTATATAATGTACCACTAAAACTATTTTGATCAGTTTTGAAATGTATGACATTATGGTTGAAGACTATTATGATATCTAGTGAATCTCCTAAATTTATATCCCTTTGAAATTTTTATGAAAAATTAAATAATTCTCACAAATAAATTGTTCCCTTTTTTAAAAATACTTAAATAATTCAAAGATAGTTTTCTTTTAATTATTTGAATATTTCCAAAATGTAATATTTAAATTTATAAAATAATACATTTTTTAGTCGATTTCCAAACTTAATTTCTAATTTTAATTTATATTGTAATATTTAGTTTTTTTTGTAATTTTTTGTTTAGATTGTTTTCAAAGTTCAATTGTTTTTTGTGCAATTTAAAACAACTTTCACGTTTACGAAAAGAGAATTCATAGAAGGTGGTGTTTTTAGGTCAGCTGATTTCTTCGCCTTACATTTAAGTATGAGATTCTGACATATCACCCGTAATACAAAATACATGGGATTGTAGTTTTTTTTTGCTATCACCTGGTATAAATTCGCCTTACGTTTTCGAATGACTTTCAAAAAATTTTATGAATTCCAGCCGAAGCATCTACAACAGTTAAGATCGAATAGATTATGCGGTACTGCAACCCAAACTTTCTGACGTATGACTTTCCGGCTCGAGAGGACCGAGGAAACTTATCGAAAGTCACGGGTACATACATAAGCTATAGCTTCGAAAAAGTAGTTTTTAGGTACTTCCAAGGCGATACCAACGTCAATGACACTCAGCCTCCGAAGGCGTACGGAGGAAAATAGGGAGGAGGAGGTCTCAATGAGTGTGAAGATTGACTTTGCGTTATCAAATGACGCGACCTCTTTTGGTAGGCCAGTAATCTTTTCTCGGACGGATGTTTTATGAGGCCAAGATCGAGCGCTCATGGAGAGAAGTCTGGTGGGGGTAAATTGTACGTGGTGGTGGTGACGATTGGCGCAGGTAGAATTACAGCCTCCATGCTCACCAGGCCTTCTGACAATGGAGACATTGTGACGACAAGGCTGAAAGTACCGACAAAGGAATACTCTATCGAAGTCTAAACCAGGTAGACCCAACATCTTTATTATTTAAGAGAATTCACGCTACTCTATCTGAGGCAGATCGGATATGGCACGGATGGTCAGTTAAGGGTAGCTTTTTAGATACCATAAATATATGATTTGACCCAAGGTTCCCTACACTTGTTGACTAAGTGGTCGGCTAATAGTGGCCAAGAAGTAATTTCTCGGCTATATTTTATGGAGTTCTCGTTTGGTGTAATTCTCCAGAGAGAGCTACACTAGTAAGGCAGCTAGAGCGGGAAAACATTTGTAATGCTGACAAAATTGTCGTAGCGCAGGCTGCAAGCAAGCTCAAGGACACTGGAAAACAATCCTAGCGGCTAGACAGTCTATAATTCGTGAAAATTTCACTTCCATACATGGTCACATAGGTCACTTTTCACGTATGTGTCGAAGCTTTAATGAATGATTGGCGGCGTAGTCTTCTGCCAAGAGCTCTCCATTAACAAAAAATGTATGCTTCCACACTTCTGTGGCGTTTTCAGGCAGAAGGGGCTGATGTTAAAGAGACACCTCGGAGCAAGGAGGTACGCATTTACTCTGTGGCATGAAAGATATTAATTAATCAATTGATTAATTTCCCGATTAATTACATTTGGATTAATCAGAATCTATTCAATGTGATTATTTTTTACCATAAGACAAAGAGGAGACTTTAAACCTTTGTCGGGACTAATCAATTAATCGAACAAGCTGATTAATCCAAACCTTATTAGTTGATTAATCAAAAATTAATCTATATGGCTTTTCGGCACAGAAACAAATATTCCAATTCAATTCACTTACCTTGGCATAATCAATTTTCAAAGTGCAGCAGCCCGAGTAAATATCGGCACCATTTAGATTCTCACGTGCTCTTGTGGCCGCTTCAAGACTATCAAATTCAACCATTGCTTGTACGCCATTCTTCTTGAAGATGACAATGCGCAGCACCTGACCATGGGGATGGCAAATTTTGTGCAAAACATCCTGCAAAAAATAAAAAATGGAAAAGATTAAAGCTTAGTCGTAATTTTAAGCCCTCAAAAGTTTATTGAGACATAAAATTAACTTAAATAGATATTGAGTGCTGAATAATTGTATTTAAATTGAAGCTTACCCTTTTACAAATAATTCTTCTCTATGTTCTACACCACTATCATTCCCAATGTTATGTTTGTATGTTCAGGGTGGTCAAAAAATAAATGCGATGAAAAAAGTTGCAAATGTTAAGCTTTCACCCGTAGGATTTTTCAAAATTAAAAAAAAAAATATATTATTTAGAACTGCTTCAAATCTCATGAAGTTTTCCATATATTTTACGTAGAAATGGTATAGAGTTCTCTAAAATCAATATTTTTCGGTCGGAAAACTCTGTTTCCCTTTAGGAGACTTCCAATAGCAATACCCAATTGTTTATTCAAGCATTTTTTAATATTAACTAATTTCTATAGGTCCCCTAAAAACCTTAAAAAATGCTATGCGGGGATTCATAAAAAATCGTGAGTACTAAAATATGGTAAAATAAACAATGCGGTATTATCATTGGAAGTCTCCTGGAGAGGAAAAGAGTTCCCCGATCTAAAAATATTGATTTTCAAGAATTCTATACCATTTCCAGAAAAAATCTTTTTACCCCATATACAATACATGGAATACTTCATGGGCTTTGAGGCAGTTCTAAATATATTTTTTTGTTTTACAAAAAATACAGGTATTCTTTTTTCCACTTAGTAAAATCCTAGGGGGTGAGAGCTTAACATTAAAAAAAAAATTTTTTTTTGGGCCACCCTAATGTGCATACGTATTTTGGGAACAAAATTTCGTGATCGGAACTGAATTTCAAATAAATCTAGAGAAGCTACAAAATTACTACAATTAACACCCTCAGGGTATACAAAATTTTCGGGACTTTCGGGATCGAAGTCGGACTCGGGATTGCATCCAAATTTTGTGTCAATTCGTATGCCCTAAAACATTAAAATTTGCGTATTTAGAGCATATAAAATTTTACATATTTCAGGAGCGGCATTGACTATATTGAGACTAAACCATTTCTTTAATAAATTATTTTCATTGAAATCAACAGAATAACATTAAATAATTTCAAAGAATCCTTTGCTACCTTTAAGCGTCATTTTGACTTATTTTTCTTTACTTAATTCCATCGTTTTGTCATCATTTTAATCTTTAATGTGATTTTCATGACAGAAAAACGAAAAGAACGCAAGAGAAGGCATCCCAATTATACGCAATCACAGCCTTCCCCATCATATCGGCACAGCGCCTGCCTGTCAGCGTTCATTTCAGACGAACGCGCATGCATTTTTAACGTTGCATACTAGCAGGCGCTCAGGCTGGGTACCTTCCGCGAAACATCAAACAACATTTCGGTAGCGTCGCAGGCCATCAAAAGCGCATTAAACACAACCGAAAACATTACGGCAATGACAAAAGAGCAAAAAAACGGAAAAAACACAACAATAAGAGGAGAGAAGGATGTTACAAAGTGAAATAAGTGAAACAGATATGAAGCGCGAAATATGCCGGCACTGGCGTGATTCAGACATATTGTGTAAAATTTAATAAATCTGCCATAGCGCGGCTGCGAACAGTTGGTCAATGTGAACAAGAGTAGGAGGAAAATAGCAGAAAATGAGAAAGAGGCAGAAGAGCGCCAAATAAGGGAAGTAAGATATATTGAAGGCAAGTGTTCGAGGAGTAGCAGTTTTTTTTTTTTCAATAATAAAAATATTGTTCTTGTGCACTTACTTTAACGCCACACTCGGAAATTGCATGTAATTTCGTAAAAGCTAAAGAAAAACAAAAACAGAAATAAACGTAGCAAAGGACAACAACCGACAAAGTTTTACAGTTGTGAAAAAGTAGTAAGTAAAGTAAAGTAAAGTAAGCATCAGTGAGTAACGAGTATTTACAGCTTTTTCTGCTTGCACACTTCCACTTAGTATACTTTTGTGTCATAAAACTGTTTGTTAGTCTATTAAAAATGAATGAAATGTCACGAATCGCAGAAAAATAGCGCAGTGCTTAATGTAATTGAGGCGTAACGGGGCCTACATACATATGTACGTATGTATCGTATATGCATTTTCTTGCGTCAAAAGTATTTTTTTAGTTTTTAACCGACTTCCAAAAAAGGAGGAGGTTATCAGTTCGTCGGAATTTTTTTTTTGGGTTTTTTTTTTTATGTATGTTACCGCATAACTTTGGACCACGTCAACCGATTTCGATAACTCTTTTTGCATCGGAAATGTTACTAATCTGGTTAAGATCCGATCAGCGGGTCATGAGATATATATATAAAGAATGTACACGAAAAAAACTGGTCACAGTTAAAACGTTCTAAAACATAAATATATTAATGGAATTCAACGATATTTACATATATTTACATCTAAACTTAGTTTTATTGAAATTCGTTAAAAAAGAGTTAATTCTCTTTGTAATAAGCAACCGATCGCAATTTTGACTTTATGGCCTTCATTAGCCCTTGCACAGAAGTTTCAGTGATTTCCTTGGAAACCAGCTGCCATTTATTTTTGAATTGTTGTGCGTTTTTTACAGCTTTGTGGGTCTTAAGAAGTTTGGATTTCATAACGGCCCAGTAGGTTTCGATCGGCCGATGCTCTGGACAATTAGGTGGATTCACCTCTTTTGCTACAAAATACACTTTGTTTCTATGTTACCATCCTAAAGCCATTTTTCCGTAATGACATATCGCGAGATCAGGCCAAAAAAGCACTGGATCTTAATGAAGCCGTATAAGAGGTAAAAGTCGCTTTTGCAGACACTCCTTAACATAAATTTCTTGGTTAATTGTACCAGTGCTTACAAAAGGATCACTTTTGAAGCCGCATTGGCAAATTGCCTGCCAAATGAGAAACTTTTTGGGAAATTTGTCAAACTTTTTGTTTTTATTTTTATCTGCAACATTGCCTCTTTTATTTGCAGTGTGAAACTCGCGGCCCCAGATTTGTTTAAAATCGGCTTTTACGTACGATTCGTCATCCATAACAATACAGCCAAATTTTTGTATGAGACTGTCGTACAATTTCCGAGCACGTTGTTTCGCCAACAAATTTTGCTTACCGTTGCGATTAGGTGCTGCATTCACTTTGTAAGAACGTAGTCCTGCTGTTTTGCATACCTTTTGTATATACGAAGACGACATGTTTAATTTTTTGCCGACATCTCTTACCGAAAGTCCAGGATTTTTCTTAAAAGCAGATAACACTTCCTTTGCCTTGATTTCGCAAGCAAATCCTTTTTTCTGCCACTACCAGGGTTCCTTTTTAAAAATAAACATTCATTGTATTTTTTAAGCACATAAGTAACGGTAGACTTTGGAAATTTTAGCTTTTTTGCGATGTCGTTATGGAACATGCTAGGATTTTCCAGCTTTTTGCGCAATATTAACTCGCGATCGATTTCTTTCTTGGTCCTCGTTTCTACACTGATTTTTGTTACTAAAAAGAAATGATGCAGTAAGGTGGAAAATGCTTCCAGCTTTTTAAGTGTCTACCGATTTTTATTTTAATGTTATGATTAACCGAGCTATGCTTGGTTATGTGCGACCAGTTTTTTTCGTGTACATTTTTTATATATATATTTTTTTTATATGAGAGTTGAGGTCGGTTTTTTTTTGCTAAAAATTACTTGTAAAAATTGGTATGCGCTAACAACACAAGAAGGTGTTGGGAGCAAGTGAACTTATTCCGGCCATTATACTGATTTTCACTGCGCCCGTTGCAGCTGTCTGTTTTTTCCACACCCACAAGACAATCAATCATTTGCAAAGCACACCTCTTTTAAGCGACATTTTATGACATTGTTTTAAATGTTACTTGTTTAAAGAGGGGCAAAGAAGAGCAAGGCGGGCGCAGGGATAGGAAGAAGTAGTTAAAGGATACACAATCCATTCGCGCTATTGGTTACATGGGAAGGGTGAGCTAATATATTTTTAACGCTTAACTGTCATCTGGCAAGAAAAAGTAACATGCCGAAGAGGAAGTCCTGGTTAGACATTGACATGTGACAGTGCTTGGAAAAAATATTCGTATGACCCTATGAATCAAAGTGAAAAATGTATATAGCATGGTTGCTGGACGGAGGGATGCTTTAAGGGGGTTTCAAATAGCTAATTGTGGCTTAAATTATTACTTAGCAATCATATAAATAAACGTGCCATCCAATTCGCAGGAAAAACAAAAAGTTCAATTCCGTTTTTTTTAAGAACAAACTACATAACTACGAGTACTTTACGAGGCAGTCGGGTTCTGGTAAGCAGAATGGAGGAATGAAGGACTGTCAGCTGAGCAGCATTCCCTGCACCCTTTGAGGAATTTTTATACTGTTACAAGACCAATGAATACCTCACCATTTACCGGTAGCCTCCAAAAATACTCCAATTCACATCTTGAATTTTTAAACCCCTCCTCAGTATTGGACTGCAGCCAGTACGCCGATATATTTTACTGTGTAAGAAACGCCTACATTTAGCTTTAGGAATCTTGCATCATACTACCAAATCTCCAATTCTACGAGTAACAAATTTGTCTCAAATAATGCAAACTCTTCCATTTCACTACAGCGCATCCGGAATTTGATAAAAACTTAAAAAATTCGCCCACTTTCAAAACTAAGCAACCAATATTTCCACAGGCAAAGATTCAACCTGTTGCCGAACTGATTAAACTGTCACAAATACCAAAAAGTTGCTTGTTTGCAGCAAAATGTTGCATAAAGTGGCAGAAACATACTTGGTATTTAGCCCAGTTCCCAAGCTGCCACCAATTTTGCCAAAGTGTAGTCGGCCAAAGCAGATTTCTACGAGCCACAAACGTTTACTTGCCGACTTGCGGTCTGCGCAACTGCGGACACACGTTGTTGCACGAGTTCCACACTACTGGCTTCGGACTTATGCAATCATATAAGGTCCCAAAGTAGCAACAACAACAAAAAACGCCAGC